ATTATTAGTTCATTTTGATTAACAATATTATTTCAGATTCAAATATTAGTCCGTTTTTATTTTATTTTACTATAGTTAGTATTTTAGTGTGTTACAAGTTGATGTTAAATTATATCTACTTTCAATATCCTAAAAAAAAAAATGTATACAATAAACATCTTTTCTTTTTTAAAGAATTAATTCAACATTTTTAATGAAATATATAAAAAAAATATTTGTTTGCTATTACATATAACTTATATACTTAAGATTATTAATAATAATGATAATAATAATAATAATATTATATTATTTGCAGTTTTATCCCTACCTGTGTTCTATATGTATACAGTTTTAATTATGTTTTTAATTATATAAACCGGTATAAAAATTATTAATTTTTATTAATTTTAGATTCGAAAGATTTCATTATTAATCGGTAACAAAGATCTAGGTAATAGTGTAAGAAGAATAATGAGCCGTATGTTTTATGATAAATTCCTTACAAATTATTCGTTGTTTGGCTTCAAGAAAAAAAAATCATTTTCATGTTTGTCATGCTGTCGTTTGATTATAGGTGAGAATTACATTAAAAACGGGTGTAGTATTATATTGTTAAAACTTTAAATTAGAATATATTTTTTTATCACACTGATGAGGATAATAGGACTTAAAAACTGTAATAAAAGCTTCACATTTTAATATAGTAATTAGAATCCCGTCTAGAATAGCGAAAAATTGTATGAGACTATGATTACTCAAAGTTCTACTATAAAAACATGTATATAATTAACAAACAAATTTCATTCCACTTTAAAGAAAAAAGTTAGTATACTATTATGAATTTATGTTGATGTTTTTATTTTTACACTGTATCCAACCATCAATTCAATAGTGACATTGAGGGGGTTCTGACAAAATATCTAGTATTTAATCTAAGAATGAAATTTTAATTTTATAGTTTACATACCTATATAATATATCTAATTTGTTTTCAAATACAATTTCCAGTGTCCATAAACATTATTGATCTTGAAAAATAAATTTAAAAACATATAATGTTAATGATGCAAATAATAATTTTTATATTTATCATCCATAATTTCTATGATAACTGAAAATATTTATTATATTATGTTGTTATTTTCCAGATGCATTAAGAACACATCTGAAGTACAAATATGCAAAAGAAAAAGAAATTGAAATACCTTTAGGGACTTGGCTTTCCCATGCTCCGTTCGGATTGAAAAAAGTTGAAGCATGAAATCTATTATATTTGAATAAAAAAAAAAACAGTATTTTATGTCTTATTTATTATTAGAAGACATTATATATACCATTATCATGTATTTATAATATTATGTATTGTAATAAAAGGCTGTATAATATATACAATTCATCAGAATTAAAAAATTAGTTTATATTAAATAAAAGTGTATCAATAAACATTACAAAAGTAAAATAATTGAAATGTTATAAAAATATTATCTGGTTATTTCATTCTTTAAAACAAAGTTATATAAAATTATAGCACTAATGTTACAGTAACATTAATATTTAAATTTTATAGTAATAATAATTTTGTGGCCAAAAAATCATAACAGCATATGTTATATAAACATTTAATAACTTTTTGGTAACTATGATGAAACTTTATTGGTATATTGATATTTTTTTTTAAATATTATTTTCATGTCGAATTAATATTATTTTGCTGTCTGTGTAGTTGTCTCGTTGATGCGGTTAGATCTTCCAGGCGCAAATGCCGAGATTGCCGCCAAAAAACATGTACATCAACGTATTTTCCTGATGCGTTATTTGTATGGCGTACGATTCTCCGATCACCACGTTCCACTTAGGACCGTATTTTTTATCGAGCATTTGTTTCACCGTCTTGGCCGCCGCCTGTTAAAGTTATGTCGCGTCATTATTATATTGACATAATATTGTTAATGCATAGCGGCGATGTACTCGGAGGTGATAATGGCTCTCCCCCTTAATTATTTTTTGACCAATTTATTCCAATATTGTTTAATTATTAAACTCTGTATTATACTGTAATGACAATTGACAAATTTGAATTTCATAATTCATTTTGAGCTCAGCCCCTCAAACTCAACCGCAACCCGTAATCTAGAGGGACTGCATGTCTGCATGCACAACTTATGTCTTATTATACTACCTATCTTAAGTTTTTCTGAAATTACGATTTAGTTTGATGTGTAGGTAGGTATCTAACCAAAAATGCGTATTACAAACTTTTGGGAAGAATAATAGATATAACTGCATACAACTACCATTATAGGTACCTATTATTAATGTCATGAACAAAAGTAGTTATATCTAAATATCAGTTGCTACTTCCTACCTACGTATAGTGTAGAGTGAAAAAACTAGTAAATAAAAAGAAATAACGAACCACTATTTTATTTTTTATATTTGGATGAAAAAATTCAATAGTTCATAATTAATTATAATAAAGAAGTAAATTGTTTACATATTTTGGTAATCGTAATCATTACCTAGTATGTTAAAAAAATGACTTGAAATGTGTAGGTACTAATATTCCTATGAATAAATTAACAAAAGTTGATAAATCTTACGAAATAATCTGTTCCAAATTTTTCGCATGCTGTAATTATAATTTCAATTGATTCAGCTTTCATTTCTTCCGGCATATCACACGCCTGACAATATACAACATTTAGATATTATAAACAAGAAATTTAAAAAAAGTTTAGTAGGTAGACTTTTGAATTTTCTAACTTTTAAGGTATTGTATTTATTATATGTACCTATTATGTTTGGTATTAAAAAAAAAAATATTAGCATAATTACCCAATAGGCAAGTATTCAATAATATTTTTAGCCAATACGGAATATGTCTATTTAGGTATGCACCTTTTTCAAAATACTTAGTTGATAACTTAAAAATATTAATATTTATTATGAGTATTCAATAATCAATTATAACAAAAGTTTTTAATAATATAAGAATAGGTACTATAAGTAATAGACGCCTACTAAAAATAGGTACTTTTCGCCAATGCATTACATGGTTTGCATGAACGAGATTTGAAACATAAGCATAGTTCTTTTTTGTATGTTCAATGTAGGTATACTGTATACAATATACCTATAATACCTGTAGGTCAGTGTCATTGCCAGGCGGGGGATCTAACTGTCAATTCATTAAAGAGGAATGCCGCCGGAGAAATTTCGAGAAAATATTATACATTTTTTCAGTGCTCTGTGAATATATATATTACGTAAAAGATAATGTATTAAAATTAAAATTTGAACGAATTGCCCCCCCCCCCCCCCAAATAAAATCTCGGCTACACCACTGGCCCACTGCTGTAGGTATATTATCATATATTATATTATGTATAACTTCAAGTGTGGATACACTCACTTGCACTAATGGATAGGTGTGAACAATTGTCTTGTTTTCGTCTTCTTTGGTGTCTGTAAACTCTTCCATGGTCTATACACGAATCGTCTATATATGTGCAGGTAATTATATAGGTAGGTACTATGTAAAACTATGCAAGGATGAACACGCCTAATTGTAGAATAACTTCACAAACTATTCTACGACTACAATGAAAACAACGACCGTTGTACAACGCTGTCGTATGGATGTTTGTTTGACTATTGATTCTTATAGAGTATGCCTATATTGTGTTAGTTGCTATGGAACAACAATATTACGCTAAAGGCTAAGAGCATAAGTAATTATATAATAATATATTGCAGCTGGTTCCTTTAATTTGCCGATATCTAAATATTTTCCGTCGGTATAATACCTAATTGTTTGCATACGAAGTTTTGAATATTCCATTCGAAGAACGAGATACCGAAATATAATAAATAAACTACCTATTTATTTATGAGTCAGAAATGTTGGAATCGTTAATATTATTACTTTAGAGTTATAATTACAATATAAAATGAAATAATACTATTTTATAAGTATGATTTTATTACCCACGTAATTACAGACATCATGGTGTATCATCTATATTGTTTTAAAGAAGTGTTCTATAATTACTGGTTTTATAGACAACTATAATACAGTCATATTTCTTAAAAATGTAATAACATTTTTTTTCTATTAAAGCAAGATCCTTGGCATTTGGAACTCACATGATCATGCCAACAAAAAACCTCATAATCCAAACCTTCGACATCATTCCTAGTAATCCACTTGCTGGACGCTTGAGGCGAAAATGATGTAGAGATTTGCTTAAGTAATACAAAAATACATAAATTAATTAATTAATAAAAACAAATGTGAAGTAGGTACACATGTATTGTAAGTAGTATTACCAATGTATAATCGGTGGATTGTTCCGTCGAGCTATTAATGTAAAATAACTTCACTAAATCACATAGGTGCAGTGCCTACTCCTTATACAATTATGCGTATGGGTTCAGTCGGTGCAGATTTTGTGTACAATCGTATATAAAATAAAGAAAATAAATATAAAATATTTGCGTGAATGATCGAATAGATAAGATGCAATCCCCAATAATTAACAGAAAAACAAAAAATGTTGGTATACAAATAATTGTAGGTATTTAGCAGAAAAATAATTTAATGATACTACAATTAATATTACGAAATGTTTTTTATTGTTAATTCTTATATAATATAAAGGTACCAAAAATTAAAACGTATCTATTATATTTAAAAAAAAAATAATAATGTATAAGGTAATAGCTAGGGATTATAATAGTGGAATAATAAAACTTACTAACGAACAAAAATAGTTAAAAGTGACATTCGAACCTCCGTGATTACAATAAATTAAATTTCAAAAAAATATAAAGTGGTGAGAAATATTAACTAGAATTCAGGTAGTTGTTCAAAAGCGGTAACATATAAATATATAATAATATAATAAAATTTAATATAACATTATGCAAATATATCGGTACTACCATCCTAAACTCAATAGCGTCAAAAGTATGTCTACACAGTTACACATTTTGTACTAAACACCGCGGAGGCCACCCTACACATTATGCTTGTTGGGAAATTTCAGTCGGGCGAGCGCTAAGTCGAGGCACTGAGTGGCGTGGCCGCTGTGGTCGTCTGCGTATCGGACACGGAAGGGTTGTTTGCGGAACACAGCCAACTTCTGCACGGTGATTTGGTTGCAGTCGGACGCGACGAATATGAACGCGCCCTGCAGCGAGTTGAGAGCCGTGTTGAGCGTCCAGGCGACGTCGCTGTCGGTAAATGCGCCGACTATCGCGAACACCCGCGCCAGGCCCATCATCAGCGACAGGCGCACGTAAATCTTGAGATTCCTGCGCGTCCGGTTGATGGTGGTAGCGTTGCTGCAGTGGCCTCCACTGCCGAACGTCTTGAACCCATCGTCCGATGTAGAGATCAGCCGGACACCGCCAAAGCGTTCTTTGGTTAGGTTAGGTTAGGTTAGTTACGACACGTGGTTGGCGGCGATCGCAGTTCCGGCCGGCAGCGCGAACATTGCGGCGACCAGTGACTGCGGGTTCCGGAACCAGCATTCGTAATAGAAGTTGGGCCTGAGCTCGGGGAACGGCGCGACAGGGGCCAGTTGCAATTGTGTGGTAGCGGACAGTGCAGTGAGTGCGGCGGGCGCGAGCCAGGCAAACATCGAATATACGATGAACCGGCCGTGACGCTGGCCGCCGGCCACCCGCGGTTTCTTCGTGGACACGTGCAGCACGACCCAAACGTCGGCCGACATAACGAACATCCAAGCGAAAGCGGCCAGGAAACCGAACTGCATGGTGAGCGCGGACACCAGGCACGGCGGCAGTCCATTGCCCCGGGACACTGCTTGCAGTGCCACGGACAGATAACCCACGTATCCCAACGGCAAGCCCGTAGACAGACTGGCCGGGTTCTTTTCGGGGGCAGGTTCTTTGGCTCAGCGCCCGTACAACGTTCACGGAATCCGAACAGCACGAGATGCGCGACCAGCGCGGTGGCGGACACGCACGATCCAACCATGGTTAGGTTAGGTTAGGACAGGTACACCGCGTAAGCTGATTGCTCGTATGGTTTGAGCAGCCCGTCCGCGTCCTCGGTGCACACCTGTAGTAGTCAGTAGAGACCCGTTCTGTATCGGACGCGTTTCTTGTATGCGTACACGTACGCCGTCCCGTTGCTCAAGGTCCGTCCGTCGTATTCGCCTTGGCCAAACTTCACGAACGTCAAGCACGCACCCGACAGCTCTTCCTGAATCACGTTCCAGGCGCAATAAGGTGGGGGCTGGGGGGGGGGGGGCTTAGCCCCCCCCCCCCCAAATAAAGCCATGACTTACGTACTTTTTATTCGTCATAGAAATTGGAAAATTTTTTTTTTTAATTAAAATAAACCTGAAATTATTATTATTTAAGTTATTATCCAGGTTGCACATTTCATAAGATGTATATTAAAAACCTGGCAGAGGACTACAATGACACAAGAGCGATTTTCAAATTTATCAATAATTAATATTGAAAGGGATCTAACAAATAGTTTAGAGATAAAAACAATTATTGATACATTTGGAGCAGCTCATAGAAAATTAGTATTCTATTGAATAATAACTTAATTAAAAATGAAAATATTGTAATATCATATGAATTTATTTATTTGTCAGTAGCCATCCGGACATCCGGTTTATAAGCTTATGGGGGTGCGGGGGCGAAGCCCCTGCGGGTTCGTGTGACTTAAACAATTCTAGCCCCCCCCCCCAAAAAAAAAAATTGATCCCAGTTGCGCCTATGTTCCTGTACTTGACAGCGGCAACGTCGTAAATCTCGTCTATAGCGCACTAGTTTCGCCGTTCGCCGGTTCTGCTGACCCCAAACAACGACCCGAACCCTATAAACGGTTTGCCACTTAACGGCGGTGCCGGTGGTTCGCACATCAACTGATTAACAAAATTGTGTACGGAAATTTATTTCTGTCGCCTTGTCGGAAGAAGGACATTCAGTGAAACAAGTTATCAATGTCCAAGATAAAAATAGACGCGGTCTCCCATTATTTTTTGTTGATTTATATCGTCAGAATAATAACAAAGATATTTTCAATATCACTTCGCTACTTGATACCAAAGTTATAATCGAAAATAATAATTGACTCGAGTTCAGGTACTTTAAGCGAACACTACAATACGATCGTCAAGTTAGAAGTTGATAATTACCAAATATTCAATTTGTTTCAAAGTCAATAACTATTATGGAAATCAAATAAAAAAAAAAGTTAATCTACTATTTTAATTAGCACGTGCAAGTAACATAAAGAATATTTTGTGCCTATTAGGTATTTTATATGTTATATTATCGAGAAAAACCAATAGAAATTAAATCGATATTACTATGCTATGAATGTAACTTGTAAGTATAAAACCATAATATAAGGACTAACAAATTTAAAAACGTTTTTAATAGTTTTAACTTTATGCATTATTTATTTAACTAGTTCAGTTTTTAAGTTAATTAGAAAGTTAAGTTGAAGAGTTCAAAAAAATTAAGGCAAACCGCAATAATTTTGAGCCCAACTATATTATATACACACTTATTATGTTATTTCATCAAGAAAAACAATAGAAATTAAATTAATATTACTGTGATGATATTTATGTAGGTATAAAATTTGAAAAACTTTTTTAAGCATTGTAACTCTATGCAAAATTAGTGCGAAGGCAAACCGTAATAATATCAAGTACGAAAGTTCAAGTAAGTATATGATAATTGAACGTCTATTCGGAATATTCACAAAGTCCCACGAGGATCGCAATTATTGTGCAAACATATTTTATGATTACCAGTAAATTGGACCAAATATCGAAAAAATAGTATGTGCGATTAATATAAGGTCTCTTACGTTCCGTAGTAATAAATACTGAACACAACTTACCTACATATGCCTATGGTTGGTGGTAAAAAATAAATAATACAATAATTATTGTTATTATAATTTTCCGATAACTTGCGTCATACGACGTTAAACGAAGTAATCAACTTTTAAAAATAAAACGATCGAACAAGACTATTACGCATTTAAAAACTCCGTCTTAACGGTATTGCCGAATTCTGTAGGTAAACTTCGGTGTTGATACCACGATTCAAGATAGTATGGTTGCACATCCGTTAGTGATAAGCTGACCTATAGACTAAATCATTAAATCGATAGAAATATTCGATTTTCAAATAGTTGTCCAAGCAGATAAGATATTCGACCATAGTACTACAAATGCCGAGAAGGAGGTAAAAAATAAACGAACAGTGAAATCAGATTACTAGGCTCGCAAGTAGTAGATCGAAACAGCTGATTTCTGGAGTAAATTCTGTTGCCACAATATAGAAGCATTATCACTGATGGATGGGCAACCATACTATCTTAAAAAGTGGTTGGGACTTATCTAGATAAATATTTAGAGCTATCTTTAATTTATCTTATCTAGACAATATGAATACAGTCGAGTCTCGATAACTCAAATCTCGATGGGAACACAGATAAATTCGACGTAGCAAGTAGTCTAAATAGTTAACGCTGTGTGATATAAATTCACTTCTCTGGGTGATAAATTCGTCTGTACAAGTGAAAATATAAAAATAATAATAATTAACACCGAAGAGAGCGTTCTGTTTTATATTTTGTTATTGCGGTGAAACCTCGATAGATAGTACGAATCGGCCAAAAACAGAATTCAAATTATCAAAAGTACGAGTCTTGGAAAAAATTGTACGTAGGTACATTTTCAAATGCAGGGACCAAGATATTCCTTCAAGTTTACAAAAAAAAAAAAAAACTTTCGAGTCATCTAACTGTAGGGAACATTATAAGTTGTTGGCACCGTCTTGTCTCGATAACTCGAGTTTTGAAGTTAAGTTACAGGTGAATAACTCGAAAAATACATCAGCCAAATTTATTTATTTATTCCCCTTAAAACTTTTAACTTAATAAGCAGTGTTCGGGTTAGATAAGTACTTTTTTTTATCTAGATAAAGATAAAGGATAAATATACTTTTTTATCTAGATAAAAAAAAACATACTATTATTTTTTAAATGGTTTTAAATTTAGGTATAATATGTTAGTTGGGCACTAGGAACATAATAATAATAATGACAGAAATAAAAATAATTAAATTATTTATAAACCATAAACTTTTTTTGAGAATCTGTATACATTTGTACAATTTCGAGATTTTTATCAATAAAAAGTAACTAGATGTAGATTAGATTGAAGTATTTAGATTAGTAAAAAAATGATCTAAGATGAACGTTTAGATACCTTGTAACTATTTATCTACATAAGATACAACAAATAATTATCTAGTTATATTCATCTGGATAAATTTGTCTAGATAAGTCCGAACACTGTTAATAAGTTACCTTTTTCCAAGATTAATGTGTTAACTTCAAGTTAATTGTATTTCAAAAGCATCTAAATCAAGTATAATTATCTATTATGTCAGAAAAATAATGTACATTTTTGAATGTGGTTTTACTTTGATGTATCATTTTAAATTTCCCCAACATTTTTTTGGAGCTTAAAGAAAAACTACCTAACAAACCATATTATATGTCTGGATTTTTTTTAATTTTCCGAATTAGCAAATTTTAACTTTACATTAAAATAAATTACTTTTTTTCAAAGTTGACTTTCAACTTAACAAGCTAACAAAAAAAATACGAGTAACTCTTAACTGAACTTAACTATATTATTTTAAAGTAACATGACTTCACGAGTTAAAAAAATATCGTTAACTCGCCCAGCCTTGGATATCTGTGATTTTCTCTAGGTACCTAATAATAATAATATCTACTATACAAACATCAATGCGAACTTATCATCTGTGTTTAAATTCAAGTATTCAAGCAAAGTAGTAGCTCGAGGTGCTCATAAAAAGTTACATATATCATAATGTTGGCCCTCAAACATTTTGTATCTGGATAAAAAAAAATATTTATCCATCATTTCTATCAATAGATAAATTCTAATTGGGTCATATCTTTATCCGGATAAAAAAAAAAAATACTCGTCTCGTTCCAAAACTGTCGCTAGGTATAATATTTTACTTGGTTCTTTTTTTTCACGCACGAGAGAATCACTATTGATTTATGTTAACGATGGAAGTAATAATATTATTATAATTTTTGAAGTTTCGATGACTATTATAATATTATCGAGAGTTGGAACGATTGGGGTGTGTTTTTTTTTTCCGAATTAGCAAATTTTAACTTTACACTAAGTTAAGTTACTTTTTTCAAAGTTGACTTTCAACTTAACAAGCTAACGAAAAAAAATACGAGTAACTCTTAACTGAACTTAACTTTATTATTTTAAAGTGACTTGACAAGTTAAAAAAAAATCGTTAACTCGCCCACCCTTGGATATCCGTGATTTTCACTACCTAATAATAATAATATCTACTATACAAATTACAAACACCAATGCGAACTTATCATCTGTGTTTAAATTCAAGTATTCAAGCAAAGTAGTAGCTTAAAAAAAATATTTATCTATAATTTCTATCAATAGATAAATTCTAATTGGGTCATATCTTTATCCGGATAAAAAAAAAATACTGTTCCAAAACTGTCGCTAGGTATAATATTTTACTTGGTTCTTTGTTTTTCAAGCACGATAGAATCGCTATTGATTTATGTTAACGACGGAAGTAATAATATTATTATAGTTTTTGAAGTTTCGATGACTATTATAATATTATCGAGAGTTTGAACGATTGGGGCGTGTTTTATTTATTTTGTTTCGGTACCGTTGCATAATAT